AACTCACTTGGTAGCCCAGGCTGGCCTCGAACTCACAGAGATCCGCCTGCCTCTGCCTCCCGAGTGCTGGGATTAAAGGCGTGCGCCACCATCGCCCGGCTCATATCTGTATTTTTAAAAGTCACTCTATCATATAGAATAGTAGTCAGTAAACTTTGTAAACCATGTGCCTTTATTAACCAAATATTTTAGGGGATAGGCATATAGCTCAGTGCTTTTCTGCCACCCATGATGCTCTGGATTTGATGTCAAGCAGCCCAGGAACCGGGTGTGGTGCCATACACCTGTCTTAGGAGGTTGACACAGGAGGATCAGAAGCTCAAGGTCACCCTCGGCTGTAGAGTGAAGTCCAAGCCAAGTCACGGTGTTGGAGGCTTAAGTCTGTGACTGTGTGACCCCATTGCCTTTGTTCCTGTGGGAGGGCAGCATGTCGTGGTCGAAGCACGTGTCAGAGCAACATCAGTTACCTCATTGCAAGATCAAAGAAGAGGACAAGGGCGGGCCAGAGTCCCACAATTCCGGTTAAGAGTACACTTCTGATGATCTACAGAAGCTCCTACCGGCTCCCACCCCTTCCAAGTTGCTCCATTTACCAATGGTATCTGCCTTGGTACCAGCCCTTTAACATGTGGACCTTTGAGGGGCACATAAGATAAAAACCGTAGGAAGTTTCTTGCATGGAGTTGGTGGGGACAAGGTTGGAGAGGGTAGTGGTTACATTTACTGTAATAATCTGAGTAAGAGGTGGTGAGAGCTTAGAGCGGGGCAAAAAGGAGATGCAGAAAGACCAAGCCACACACAATGCAAAAAGGTATTGTGGGATGGAGGTTGGGTTAGTGAGGAGCTGGCTGGCAGTTAAAGAGCACACAGTTCTAGCTTGGAGTAATTTCGATGATGGTGGTAACTTTTATTTAGTACAGTTGGATAAAAGTTTCAGTTAAATTTTGGAAGAAAAATAATAGGAAAAATTCTAAAAGTCATTTTTCCCAGTGTTTTATGATTGTCCTGTCCTTATCTCTCGTGCTTTGAGGCTTCAATCCTTGGCGGTGCCAGATTGAGCCTGGTGCCTGCTAGGAAGGTGTCCCACTACTGATGTGCACCCCGACGCATTCTTGTCTTTTCTCTCCTCCCTGAGGATTCCTGCTGAAAGCCGGCATCTCCAAGGCCCCACTTTCTCTTTCCAGGACAGATCAGCCTTTGGACTCGAAAGGTTACAATCAGCTTTTATCACTCGAAATTTGACTGTGATACATGTCCAATACTCAGGACTCCCCCCTTTCCCCACGGATCCATTTGATGGTCCTTTCTTTAGTTGATTTGTGCAGCCATTTGAGTCTATTTCTCTGCAGGCAGCATGGAAAGTTATGTTGGGTACAGATGTGCACACATGTGCATGCAAATAGGAGGTGTTAGCTAACCTGCCTATCTCAAGCATCTTTTGCACATTTCCAGAGAACTACCTGGAGTTTCTCATGAAGTAAGGCTTCGGCATAGTGCTTATTACTAGGAAAATGTCAGTTGTTGCTACTATTTTTGAAATCCTTTTTATTTAAAAAAAAAAAAAAAAAGCTGCCGCTTTTGGTGCTGTGATGGTTCCAATCATAGTGGGTGCAAAGCTTCTGTGAACTAAGTCCATGCCTGATGGATATCTTCAATGCAAACTCCTTCAGGGCTGCTGGAGTAACAGCTTATAAGAGAACTGGGGGTCAATCGGGAAGTGAAAGGCCAAGAGCTGTCACAGCCACAGTCCTGTACCACCAGTCAAAGCTGGCCAGAAAGACAGTCTGGAGAAATAGTCAGGATGGAAACAGGTGATTATAGACTCACTCAGCAAAAAACACACAGTTTTGTGTACCCTGTTAATGTGGGTAATTACTTCTGTCTCCCTCTCTTGGTTATAAAAATTGGAAAGCAGGCCCCATATTAGAGCCTGGTTGGTGATCCAAGACCATGTGAGGATTTTTTTTTTTTTTTTTGAGACAGGG